GTTTATAAATTAGTTTAGAGTAATAATCTAGTACTAGACTAGATTACTAAATTGTATTTATAACTTAAAATTATTAAATTTATAACAATTGCTATTACTTTATGCTTCATTTATTGTCTATACTATGATATACTAGTCGCCGGCGACTCCACCTTTGTGCTCTTCCAGACTATGTTGTACATCTATGTCAAATTTCAGTGAGATCCATGCGTCCTGGAGATGCCTTCTAACAAACATACTTTCGCATTTGTATTATTAGTGAGATTTTAAAAAACAGTACCAAATTATAATAACCAAAGCTATATAAAAATATTGATTGCTTTTTAAAGTAAAAATAAAAGTTTGTGTAAACTTGGGGTAACAAGACATAATGTTATACAAAACTTACACTACACTGCCACCCTTAGTAGTCCACTAAGGGATCCACTCATATTGTAGACAACTATTGTACCTATAGAACTCTGAGTGCAACAAAAAATAATTGAAAATTTACTGAGCTTTATTTACACAACAAATTAATATCTGATTATGCACAAAATTATCTCGTTTGAATTTATAAATCGACAATCAAATTCTATATTTTACAAAGTGAAAAACAATAGTATAGTATGAATGTATATGACACAATTTACATCGAGGTTTATTTAATCGAAATTCGATTACAATTTGCGGTTGAACATTAACGATACATTGTAAGTTAATAGAGCGTTCAGTGAAATTTGGTAAACAATCTATCTTTATTTACATATTCGTGTAATTTGTTATATTTATACATATATAAATCAATTGCTGTTCGTTAGTTTGGCTAAAACTCGAGAACGGCTGAACGGATTTATCTTACCTTAGTCTTGAAATGTTCGTTGAGGTTTAGGGAAGGTTTAAAAGGTGAGAAATATTCGAATAATTTCCGGGAACTATTTATTTTTTCTAGTCATAACTATAATACTCTATCGATTGTAAGACTATAAAGTGTTATATAGGGTGTCCTCTAACTAAAACTCTTAAAAATATATTGCTGTTTAATATATTTCAAACGTAACTTGACGGATAAATGTGTTCAGGATACCTAAGGTTTGATGAGTTCTTTTCCGCTATTATTACATTAAACGTGTGATTTTTTGTTTAAGTAATTTAGTGTGCATGTACTAAAAAGTTAATTTTGTCATGTAACCTTTTAAATGTCGAGTTAACTTACTTGATATTATGGTATTAAAATGCTTAATGTGCCGTAGCGTAAGTGTTCTGTTGTGAAACATAAAAACAACATTAGTTTCGGGTCAAGAATTTGACATGTCCCTTGGAAATTTTCATGCTTTTTATGACTAGTTAAACAGTAATAATTTTTCAAATTACATCGTTGAAATTTCTAACAGAAACATCCCGTTTTAAGTCAAATTATATATTTGTAACAGAATGATTATATTTAAAAATCTTAATAAATAGCTCATTATTTTATCTTCCCTGTATTTTTAAAACATATAGGTGTATTATATTTTACTTCTTTTCATGTCGCTGATTGATTTTTAAATGTGAGGATTCCCCCAAACCGCCATATTGCGAAGCCGTACGTAAATTTCCCGCCCACCGCCATTTTGTTTGTGTCAGCAGCGTGACATGCGCGGGTGCGCGGGGGGACTGCTGGGGCGCCGCGGGGGACGGCGGCCGTTTGAAAACAATAGCCCTCAATAAAATGAGCTCGGTCGGTTCGTCCATGTAAATAATTCCAGGGAAATAATGTTTGTTCCAGCATGGAGATATCAACGTGTATCATATAGATTTGTATTTGTTTGGATAATCCTGGATTTAATACCCAATCGAAATATCATTGTTTGATATCATAATGCAATGTGGAAAAGTTACGACATTTGTAATACATGCCGTTCATATTACACGTTGAAATATGATCCAATGATGTAGATTATTTGTTCGCATTTTTGTAACATACATTGTAGGAAATATTACTTGTTTCATCGGCATAATTAACCATGAACTGAAAAGTAAACAAGTTTAAAAAAATGTAACCTTTAAAATAGATTTTAGCAAAGGTAAAATCAAAAACGTACATCTGGATTTTATCATTTCTTCAACAAGGGATGGGTCAGTGGGCGAAACATTTGGACTACGTCCGGAAGATTGTAAATAACCCTCGGAGTTTGCCTGCGGGTCCACTGATACGTGATACTTTTAACTTAACAAAGTATAATCTGAAGGTTTTAAAAAGAAAAAATAACTTAAGATAGAAGTGATAGAACAATTGTAGTACAAAAAACAAGCAATAAAAACAGTAAACTAGTAGATTCGTTCCATTAGAGATCCTGGGACCCTCGCAATCGCACTTGAGGTTGGCCACAGAAGAGTTGTCGTCAGTAAGAATCTCACATAACCCTGTCTTTCCCCCTAAATGTCAAAGTATCTTATAAACATCCCCCCCCCACCCGATATAAAAAAAACTAATAGAAATATTAACAAGCTGTTCTGATCTGGGTAAAGGATGTCTCTGTTATATTGACATTGTGTTTATGAATAGTTAATAAATAGTATCTCGGAGTTAGAATTTGAATCGACTTCGTCAAATAGAGTAACTGGTGCACCAACCTCTGCGCTATAAACATTTATAGTCGACATTATTGGAAATAGTCAGCGCTTTTATAGCGACTACTACAAAATATCAAAATGATATTTCGTAAACCACAAAATAAATTTCACTTTACGTTTAAAAGCATAATATTTTTCTCAATATACAGTTTGGATTGAATCCAAAAGTGGAAGCATAATTCATATCGTGACGTTTTTGAAATAAATTCACTCCTTTAATGGCATTTTGATAAAAAAACCTTTACATATTTATATTAACCAAAGTATATTGAATTTTATTCATTCATTGATTACATAAAGTTAACCCGACAAAATTAGAATGTTGATTAATAAACAGTTACCTGCAAGGAAACTCTACTCTACTAAAATAATCATCATATTGAATGGATTAAAAAAGTAATTAACTCTTTATTCTATGAAGTCCTGGTACTTTATTGTCAATAAAAGATTAAAAAAAAAGTCCAACGTAAAAAAAGCAGAAATGATATACGCAAAACAACAGTAGTGCTCAGAAATACAAAAATTTGAGCTACAAAAAAATCTTTGTATAAACAAGGATCCATAGAGTCGGTATATTCCGTGTATCATTAGATACAAATGGAACAATAGAGAATTAGGTTAGAGCGGTAAACAAGCTCTCTTTGTAAGCCAATCAAATTTTTATTCAGTTCTCATAACTGGGACATTTGTTAGGCATCATTTTGTTCCTTTACGGAATTAGTTCGATGAATTCGGACTTAAGTTGATTTGTTTTTAAAGATATAAAGTAACACATGAGCAAAGTACAAAGTGGGCACTTGAATTCGCCGAAGAGGCGGTGCGCCTCTGCCCATAGAAATACGCAATTTTAGATGTGTTGCCAACCTTATTGAATTGTATGAAACATTGCATTATCAAAATAATAAGCATATAGTTTACTGAAAGTCACATTTACTGTCCATTATTTTAACATTTGAATAATATTTAAAAACAGAATTCATTTGACACTATACTAAATAGTTGTGAATTTGAAGTGGGGGAAATATAAAAATGGGACGCGAATATGAGATGTTTTTATTCAAAAGGTTTTGGACGGTTGCAGACTTAATAATACGTTTGAATATATTACATTTAAAAATGACACCAAGAAAATACTAGCAATTTCGATTTCTCCTAAAAATTATAATAAAAATATCATGAACCATTAAAAAACCGTGGTAGTTATTGCCACTAAGGTAATATACAATAATTTTCACAAAAACCCATAAATTTCAGAATCAAACCGTCTAGTTAAGAAACACCCTGTATCCTTTGCGCAAAGGGACCCAGTAAGTTACATGAGACGTGAGTTATTTTATATCAGAAATACACCTGGGACAAAGAATACAGGTCAGACGTGGCAAGTGCCGCTGTCACTTTAATTTACGACGTGACTTGACAAGCCTGTAAGAATAAAGATTTTTGATATTTAAAAGTGTATTGTAAATATAAAAGAAAGTGATTCAATCCCACAGGATTAAGATTGTTAATGTATGTTGTTTTGCTACATTTCAAACTATTCTTTTAAGTTTTAATAAAATAAGCCTATGGCGAATATTGTTGACACGCTACTTCGTAATGTCATCGAAAGAACATATAATATTAATACAAAATATATAAATTTATATGAGTTAGGATGGTGTACTTTACGTCCGGTAGAGGGCGCTGCACAAATTTTAATATTAATTTTGCCGATGACGTTACGATAATATTCTCTCGAATATTCGTACTAGGCCTTTTGTTATCGTATTCACTCAAGAGAATTTCAAGTTAAGTAAGTATAGAGGAAAGAAAGTAGGTCTTGAAAATACTTTTTTTAAACTAAAGACGCTTGCTTTCGATTGTAAAATATGAAATTTCTGCAAGAATTTACGACGACTGTAAACGCGACAATAGCTTCGAGAAACTAACGAAAATAATTCTCCATTCAACCCTCGAAACGAAAACAAACAATTTTCTTCACAAACTTAAGAACAAGTTTTTCGGCCAAATGAAAGAGGTCAGCTCTCAGGAAGTTTCGAAAGTGTTACGTTAGAGCAGGACACGTTTATATAAAATAGCCTGTAGTAGAAAGAGAGAGCAATCGGTTATCGTACATTTTAAAGATAAGACGATCCACTAACAAGATCGAGGGGTGAGGTTCTGTTAAGTGCTGTATTTGCGTTTGATTTATTATGATTTTTGTACCTTAATGTATATTGTGGTAGACAACGGTATTGATAAATTTATATTCTTTGTAGCCTCACATTTCTACGTTAAAATATATTGCTAACAAAAATTGAGATATACAAGAGATTTTTTTGACTTTTCTTTTGGAATGTTGAGGTTTATTATAAGTATTTGTTTCTTCTATATTATAGTACTGAAAATTATAGTAAAATACTTACGTATTAAGCTCTAAGTCCAGTCTAAACTTATGATTGAAAGCTTTGATGAGGAGCGATGTGCGGTGGAAGTGTTTGCCGGTCTGAAACAAACGAAATACAACGTTAAAATACAAAATTAATTACATTTATAGGTACAGTCTGATTAACTTATCTGGTCCGGTAAGAGAATAGCAATAATTATTATTAATAAGATATTTTTAGCAATTAAATAGATTTCCTTTGAATAACATTCATATTCATGTAGAGAGATTTAAATTACATTTATGCAGCGTTTAAGCGTCCCTGGTAATAATTTAAAGTAACCATTTAAAACTACACGTAGGGTGTTCGCGTATTTTCGTTCTCCCTGGAAAGAATTAATCGCCTACTCGCCGCTGAGTTTCGCAAACAAATAAATATTACACGGCCATAAAACATGACCAGCGTTTTACCGCTCGCCGTGAGTCGTTTGTTTTATAAATAAGCTTATACATACGCCCACGACTTAGGAGGGTGTGCAGTAATCACACGTTTCCATTTAGATTTTGGTAAACACGATTAACACATTAGTTAAATTGAAATAAATGATTAACTTTGCAACCCCTGAAGGCAATTCCTTATACGAAATGTTATTTAAAAAATTAGAAATTACGAAACGCTTTAAAATTACATTTTTTTCTAATGTAGAGTGTGGCATAAGAGCAAGCGGCCTCTAACATATCCTCATTTTTATATTTCACAGAAAACTTATCCCGTGTCCATCGTGACGTAATCGCGAGACGGAAAAAACATAATAACAGTATGAGATTGCTAATTAATAAATCACTATTAGTCAACAAGATATTTTAAATAATGAAAAAAACAAAAAGTTTAACGTATTACGAGGTCCACTCAAAATGAGACTGGCTGTAAAATAATGACTCAAAGGGACTGTAATAAAAGAAAGGTCAAGTCCCGTAATCAAATATAATAAGGAACCATAAAAGGTAAGAACTTCAGACAACGCAAAGCGAACACCAGTTTTTATTAGAGGGAGAGGTATCGTGGAGAGAATCGAGTATTCAGAATTGAATTAAATTTAATGAAACATCAAAGTATTCTTTTTATGACTGAAGTGTTGGAAGAAAGGAAACTTCCTTGGAGCGATGTTGGATGAACAAAATTGAACAATTTAATTGGTATATCATTAAGTTATTAATTTCCTCGTTTTGTTCGTGGCTAGCATCAAACGTATTAGTAATTGATTTAAAATAAATTAAAAACATCTCATCTAATGATTTGAAATCTTCTAAATGTCATCTTTCAGGATTATTAAATCAATTTTTTTTCTCTAATCAAAAGCAATATTGTTTAATTGCTAATTTGGCTATTTCAAAAGTATAAGTTTGTTCCTCAGTGACATAAAAAAGCATGTAAAGCATTTAGTAAAACAAAGATGAAAAGGATTTTCTTAGAAAAGAATAATCCTGATCACATTTTTTGATCGGATCGGATAGGTAAATAGATGAACTAAAACGCCCGAGGCGTACGTTATTAAATTTCAACGATGGCCGTGCGGTAATCCGACACTGTCCTCCCTTCCACCAATCACACCCCTCCCTCAGTTCCCCCGTCCCCCCTCTGCCTGTTTGCCCCAGGGCCAGAGTTTGCTATGGATCACCGCAGGTTGCGAATATACAAAGTCTGATTATACAACCTCTAAAATTGTAGTCGAAGGTCGAAGTTAACAAGAAGGAATTCAACTTAGTTGATACGTTCGTCCTTGTAAGTCTACAACTAGAATAAATTATCATCGATAAATACTTTATAAAGAAAAGGAGTGTAGAAGTTAGTTGGTACTTTCATCAAACTTTGCTTTAGCAATAAAAGTCAATAGTATATAGTCCAAAGAAAAACTATCGATAGATGACGTACTCGTAGCATCAAAAGATTTACTATTTTATGATACGGTATTTGACATTTTAATTAGGTTTAAAACTAAAATACAGAACATTTAGTAGCACAACATTCATTTAATGTACATTTTAAAACAACGTTTAATTCTTTACGTCTACGTAATGTAGTGGGTAAATTTCCTTTAAGACTCGCAGCAATTCATCAACGTATTTAAGTAGCTTTTTAGCTTTGTTAACTTCTTGCAATTCTTGGACATCTTCCAAATCTTCTTTGTTACTTTCTTTTACTTTAAGTTTATTACAAACGATGGCTCTATAGTCTAGTATCGAGATGACTGCTTTATAAGGTTCAGATTCTCGGTTCTTTACTTTGAGGATGAAGCGGCTAGGGTTAGGACCCTGATTTGCCAAGTAAGCCCTTCTAATATTAGGATGGCTACCGTTGGAATTTTGAAAACGAATCTCATTTAACCCAGTTTTTGTTCCCAAAATCTTATCTATCTTTTGATTTTCCCCAAATATCCCCGATAAAAAAGTTGTTTTACTTTGCTATTAACTTGTCTGCCTTTGGTGATATTTATTCTAATGTTTGTTTTGAATCAACACAAAATGTGGAAGAACCTCCATAATCCTGGGTTCACCACAGCCACTGTATAGTCTATTGAGATAAACTATACGAATTTATTTTACGAAAGCTAAATAGAAAGTGTTAATTTCATTTAGCAAGTGAGATTTACCGTGTCCTCGAAATCAGTGTGTGTTTATGTGTAGAGGATCAAAGCAACAACTAGTTGGGTCAGTGTTTACAAACGTGTGACCGTCGATTGGGATGCGTTGGGTTTCACTAATAGAATTTATCACATACTCAATTACTGTTATGGAACCGATGTCAAAAGTCGTGTATTTTAGCCGATGGACTATTGTTTATTAAATTAGAAACCCTCATCGCTGGTGACCCATAAAACGCGAATCGACAGCAATGTTCGGTGTCCGCACGCCAGACTAACCAAATTTCAGCATCGTTATGCTTTACTTACCAAAGTTTTAACTGAGTTACGGCATTGAGGTTATGGCTGAGTGATTTTTGCTTTTACTGTACGATTTTTTATGCTTTAGGATATTGTTACAGATAATATATATATTTTGTTAACAATAAATAAGAATAAGAATAAATTTACTTCACAAAAACATATTAAAATAAAATACACTGAAATATCTTGCAGACCCCGAACTAGGCTGGACCTGTATCTCGGAGCCTAGGAGTGCACTATGCAAATGTATTAATTATTATGTTAATTTTAATTTAATTTGCTAGCCCCTGACCTGATGTAGCGAATTTTAGATATTTTTTTCTTTCTAATATCATCCTCCCACACTTTTCTTTATTGTTATATAATTGTTGGTCCATTTGGTATAATTTTAATTAGAATTTTCTTATAACGTCTAGTACTAGTTTTAGGTCGATATAAAAGTAAAATATTTAATACTATTATTATACTTATGCTTATACTAATATTGCTGTAAACTTAGTCATCACTTAAAGTTCTTATTACTATTAAACAACACTCCATTACACGGACTAGGTTTCTGTACAATCCAGGTTGTGAGTTAATTATTCATCGATTTAGCGCCGGTACAATCTGTCCCAGTGGATTGAGCAAGGAGCTGAGATCTATGAATATTTAACGATTTACATTGTACCACCATTGTTCAAGTACTTTCTTACAACCTCTATAGATACAGCGCTTACTTAGAACATATTTATGCAACTAATTGTCGCCCGCGACTCCGTCCGCATGGAGATAAATAACACATAATTAGTAGTATATGTTCTATATGTAAGCCAAATTTCACCGAGATCTTTTAGCCGTTTTGGAGATACCGATACCGATAAGATAGAGGATGGAGAAAATAAAAGCATTGGTAATAATGTTATCTTACATATAAAATTGTCGTGTTACAATTTTCGTTTCCATACTCCTCCAAAACGGCTTGACCGATTCTCATGAAATTTTGTGAGCATATTGAGTAGGTCTGAGAATCGGCCAACATCTATTTTTAATCCCGCGCGGACGGAGTCGCGGACGACAGCTAGTTTGTATTAAAAATTTTGTTCTGTAATGAAAAACAAACATTTTATAAAACACGTATTGCGCTTAAAGATAAAAATTTTGCTTTAAACGAGCGAAACAAGTTTCCACAAAGCGACGTATAAAGAAATTTGCATAAAGTTTGAACAATAGTTGTACGGTAGGAAAGTTGTCTCGAAAAGCGAATATCGAGAATGTTATTCGACGGTTCGACACGACAGTCGAACACAAAAGATATCCAAAAACAAGATTTCACAATTGGAAAACTACAATTGACTTGCACGAACTCTCCAACATTCTGCCGCGACGTCTGCGAAGTGAACGAAGCGCCGCGCCGCTAGCACACCTCCCTCAATTTGATTTCTAACAATACTTTCTCAATACTTGTATAAAGAATTAAACTGTGACATACGATTAAATATGATATTAATGAATATATATTTTCTACATAACTAATGTTAAAAGTGGCTTCCAAACGAGTCACTAAAATTGAGTATCAGTATTGTTACTATTTAGGTTAGTAATCTCGAACGTCATCATTATTCTTTTTAGGAGAGAACATATGACATACGCAAAAATAAAGGAAAACATTTAAATATGACTGTGGAACAAATCGAATTAAAATTTGCTTGATTTTATCGATACATTAAACCATCTAAATTGTTTTTAACTAGTTTCGCGTATCGCAAATTACATAAAATCCTTTCTGTCCGTACCTAGGGTTGGAAATGTTTTCGAGAAACGATCTGCGGGCCCTAGGGTCAACAGGGGTGATGTTTTTAATTAGCGAAAGAGATAGGCCATTTATCAAGCCCGCGCCGCCCAATCCATTGTTCTTGGCCGCTTGTGTGCGGACTAAGGACTAACGTAGGTGTAATGGCTTTTGTAAATTATTAATTTCCTTTACCGCCCGCATATTTTATACGCACTTCGGAAAAACAAGTGAGAAATTAAACAAAGTTGTCATTTCGCCTAATCTATATATATCTATCTATATATAAAAATCAATTGCTGTTCGTTAGTCTCGCTAAAACTCGAGAACGGATAAACAGATTTATTTTATCTTGGACTTGAAATTTTCGAGGAGATCTAGGGAATTAAGTAATTTTTTTTCAT